TTATGAATACAGAGCATACGTTGCTTTTTGAAGAAATACTAGTAATGGAAGCTATCAAGAAATTTCATTACATTGGTCCAATTTTTTAACCTACTATTTTATTAATTTTTTCTGTTGACATCTTAAAATAAAGAAATAATTACAAAAAAAAAGAATCCCAACCAAGCTTGAATAAAAACTAGAGACTATAACAATATCTATTGACTAAGGAAATAAAATGATCCCCATCCTTTTTGTACTCTGATCCATTACAGCATTTATAAAATGCTTATGCCGTCTGTGAAACATATATATGTATATATAAACGTTAAACAAACGTCGACAGGCCACTGTAGGTTCAAGGGACATTAAAGCAGACAAAAATAATGGAATTCTATACATATATTATAACAAACAGTGGAAAGAAAAACTCATTATTAACGCTTAACCATGTAGAGTTACGATTAAAAAGTAACCAAAATGCATGTCATGTGGCACGATATTTGTATATTATGAACATATTATGAATATGTTAATATGTATATAATGAATATGAATATTATGAATATGTATATTATGAATAAAGAAACAATTTAACTAAGACATCTTTAATATAATAGCGCTATCTAATTCTTGGCATTACACAGAATTTCACACAATCAGATTAAAAGAAGAAAGGGAGTTTATAATAGTAATTAAGGGTTTACATTGAACGTAAAAGACAATAAAACTACCTCTTTCTATGTTTTATATGAAGATTCAGTCCACCGCAAATAATGTAGAAATATCTAAATTAATAGATTAATTTTATATACTGTAGTCAGAATGCTTAAAGCAAAAGACGTCAAAGATATGATTATATCTATAAACACAACAATAGTAATCCTACACCGATAATTTTTCATTTGACACATTTTCAGTTAGGAACTAATACTGTATACAATTAAATAGTATTATAATACGTTATAAGTTGCTATATACGCTTTTTTATAAAAATGAATATGTAGTTGATTAAAATATGAAATTCTATTATTCAATTTTTGTTAGTCTTTTTTTTTCTTCATAACCTAAAATAATGATACAGTGAAAGCTGTGTTAAACGAACATCTCTTTGGTTACTACTTTTCAGTTTCCATTTTTCATACAAAATATTTTTAACCAATTAGAGTAGCTGGTACCGACAGTGTTTATTTAATAGAGCTTTTATCGCATAAATTATATAGTTATATATTATATAGTTATATAATAAATGACTCTGAACTTTAAATTTGGCAGTTCGATTCTAGGTACTTGCAGTCTCAAAAAACTATTTACAAATAATTAAATACAAGAATTATTTCCAAGACCACTGATGATGTGTATTTGGCAATATTCGAAACAGCTGTTTGGTCAGCCAAAAATTCATTTAAATAAAATAATATAGAAAAAAAAATTTTGTTGTTGTAGTTTACTAGTTTTCGAAAAGCTCTTTATAAATAAATGCGTACATAAATTACAAAATACATTATGTAAGGTATATCAGATAGAAGTTTCAGTTTGGCTGAAACACAATGTTTCTTCCGTTAATTTTATAAATATATTTACTGATAGCCAGGCAGCTATAAAATCTTTAAACTCATCGACCATTAAAACGAGGTTAGTGCTGAATTGTCTTGCATTACTCATGGTGATGGCTGAATATTTTCGAATACGGATATTTAAGGCAATTGTATAACAGATGAACTAGCAAGACATGGCACCACCGCACCAATTCTTCTGGGAAAAGAAAGTGTGGGTAAATCGCTTGCTTTCTGTCTACATCGAATAAAATTATGTGTGCACCGGACGTTTAGGAGAAGATGGACTGTATTAAAATTAAGGAATTTTGGTCAGAAATTAGTAAGAAAAGATCATGGGAAATCTAACCTGAGCAAATTTAGGTAAGAAGTGGAAATTATTACGGGACACTGCCTGTTGGAAAGACATGCCGTGCGGGGCTCAATATCAGAACCTCCTTGCACTGTGGACATTGCATGGAGGATGAGGAAGAGGAATCACCAATACACCTACTTAGGGTCGCACTTTTTCAATTCACTAAGAGAGCTAAATTCTATTTCCTTAGCTTGTGCCAACGGCTATATGGCCAGTACTAAATAGTTATAGTGACAGGTGTCAAATTTTTAAGGATATCACAATGGACCTCATGGTCTAAGTGCGTCTTCGGTCGGCCCCAGTAATCTAACCTAACTAAACATTATGCAAGTAATTGTTTCTAATAATAAAACAAAAAAATAAAGATTCTGAAGTAGTTACTTATTTATTGGAAATTTAATATTTTAAATTATAAGTTATAAGTCATAACGTCAGTTATGACGGAAGTGACTATTATATTTAATAGAAATTAGCATATTTAGTAGAGAGGCTTCGAAAAGAAGTGAACTTAATTATATAAATTTAAATTGTTGACTTTAAATAAATTGCAAAACTTTCAAGTATATATTTTTATCAAATTTAATCAAAGAATTTTAAATGAAGCCGAAATTTATTCAAATAAAATTACTTGAGGCATGCATTATTTTAATTAAATCTTGAACTAAGGAGCCTTAAAACTCCACACAAATACATACATACATATGTACGAGTGTGGAAAAAAATGCAAAATTTGTTGAAATTTTTTTTAAAAATATTTTCATTTTTTTATTTTGCTATTTAAATGAAAATTTATGAAGCCACACGTACCAAATGCTTAAGCACGCATTTATTTACAACGAAATTTTAGTGCATATTTCATATTTTTTCTGACTTATATTTTATACAGTACGAGTTCTCATAATGTTCGCGCTTTACTTAACGTATAAACTCATGAATGTAAACGGACATTGTTTTTGTATAAAACTGCATGCTTTTTTCTTACGTGGGATTCGGCATAGAATTCACAGTTCCCCCGGATTATGCATGTTTATTTTCCTACTCTTTTATTTGTGTTTGTCTTTTGTTTGTTTCTGTTTCATGTTAATAACTGTTGTTTGTTTTGCTATTTTTTTATTTATTTAACTCTGCTGCTAGCAATTTTTGTTCCTTTCCCCGTATATTGTGCCGTATATCGTGTAAGCTGTAAAGGAGAATTTGGAAAGGTCCTTTATGGGACCGTATGGTCTAATATATGCAATGATGACATCGCTGCCTTATATGACATTAACATTTATACCATAGCTTCAGTGTCAAGTTTAGGGAGTTTGTTCCATAGGTTTTTATGATTTTCGTATTTGCAAATATGTTAATTTAATAACTCACATGCTGACTTCTTATTTTTTGCTACGTTCATTTCAGTGTGAACATTTTTTCAATCAAATAAATTATACAATAACACATGAAGTTTATTATTTAAGAAAAATATTTTTTAAACTTTTTCAACAAATCCAATATTTAATGTATTCAAGTTGTCTTTTGCATGTACATACATACATATATTGTTACAAAAGGACAAAATGCAATCGAGAAAAGTTTGTAATATGAGTATAACTCAGGGAAAAGCAATTTTCACATCTATGTTTTCTTATTTCATATTATTCTCTTTTTTACTCTTACTGCTGCAAAAGTGCTGCAAATTAAAAGCATTTAAAAAAAAAACTTACAAAATACATAAACATTATTAAAGATGCACTACTTCGGTTCATACAAACAAACGCATAACACAAGATACTGCAAACTGTGGTCAGAGCAGATCTCAAAAAAGAAAAAAAAATTGTTGGTACGAATATAGTTTCTCGATACAAGAAAAAAAGCTACAATGACGTATTGGCAGTCTCCAGCTATGCAATGTCATTAAGTTTTGAAATCAGTACGCAACCTGAGATGTTTTTTCTGTAAACAGAACATAGCCATTTATTTCAATTTATATAGTATAGCTGCACATATCATATGTAAGCATTCTATGGTATAATAAATTCTATATCTATATTGTTGTACTGTAAATATAACAATATATGTTTGCGGTTGAAAAATAAAATTGCGAGCTACTAAATTGAAAAAGAATTAAAATTGCAGCAAAGTTGAGAACGTTAAGTACATGAAAGTTGTAGAAATTAGGTTCCACGAGCTACTTATAGTAAAACTCAAGTAAAACACAAGTAAAATACAAACTGAGAGCATAACACAAATAAAGTGTAAAAATACGCTCTTTATGCAGATTTTTATAGAACAGCTTTGTGTAAAGTCTGGTGAGAACACCAGTGCCGCGCAAATAAACAATACAAAAATTAAAATTCGAACCAAAACAGCTGATTTACAGATCAACACAAATTTTACTTGAAATAAAATGTACGAGAAAGTCTGTGAAGCATTTTCAAATTTCATAAGAGATTTACACTCTCGCAGATGCTCTCATTTACTTGAAAATTTGCTGGTAGAACGGACTAGTGTATACACAGTATTACTCAAAATTACTACGAGTAACTCGTGGAACAGACCTAATATCATTCTGAAATAATTTACATTTTAACGTTATGAGACAAGATGATAACAAAATATTTTATGCAAATTTTCCTTGCATAGACCTTCTATGCGGTCCTAGTCTTCATATCAACAACACTAATCTATGAACTTATATTTGAGCTCAACTAAGTTTTGGTGTGCCAGGCCACCACTTTGATCTAATACCCTAACCGTCCTTTTTGTTTTAAGTCAAGAATGAGTACAAATAACGGTTTCTTAAAAGAAAAATTGTGCTAATTGAATTTACATATGTATGTAGATACACCTTTCATCATTTATGTTCAATTATATTAACGAAAAAGCTCAGATAAATCAAATTTGCAAATATAGTTTGCCATTCTTCCGAACACTTAAAAGCATTGTGGAAGTTATTAAATTATTTAAATAAACTTAAAAAAAATGCAAAAATTTCATAAAACAATTTAAGCACGTAAGAAATCTGAAAAAATTTATATTAATAGCCAAACACCTTCAAATCTTAACGTTAGTAAATTCTATAAAATATATAAAATCATGACATTAACAATGTCATTATCACATTAACATACCTTTATATCTTGAAAATTAATTTATCACATTTGTCTTTTGGTAATCAGCAATTCTCCAACAATGAGCACAACATTCAACTATAAAAAAAATTCTGTGATAAACTGTCATTTATATTCTATAAGAAAAATTTTTGACATTTCAGAGTTATTTTTTAATGCTTCAACTTAACATCTCTGAATTCTCATGTGTGTTATGACACATATTAGGGAATTCAAAAATATTAATCAAAAATTAATTAAATTAAGTTGCTTATTTATTCAAAAATCTTAATAAGCAATTTAAGACTATCGAGATAATATTTACATTTATTAAATACACAAAAGAATTACCAATATAGCAGAAATTAAAGCTTATTAGAAGTATGTAGAAAGTTTAGGATATTTAAAAAATAAAAATTATTTTACAATTCGAATAAAAATTTTAAATTAAAATTTATTTTTGAATAAAAATCAAAATTGAATGAAATTGTATACTATGCATTTTATATATATCAATTTTAAAATAACTGTTTAGTTTAGTTAAACTAAAATCTTAGGACGACGAGAAATCTTATGCTTAAAATATTTTAATTGGAACACGACTGTTTTCTATCTTAAAAATCTTTACAGTTAGAATTTAAAAATCTTTAAATAGTTTTTAAAATTTATACAATAGCTTTTAGATTTTTCCATTGATGATTAAAAAAGTTATGTGCGCTACAGCAATATACTAAAATCAAATTTTAGCAGGTTAATTTAACTTTTAGTAAACTTTGGTTACATCTTTTCGAAGAGTAAAAGGATCGTTAAAAATTAAACTCCTGAGAACTCATCAAATTTAATACGAAATTATCTTGCTTTAAGACAATACCTATAATAAATACCTATAAATACCTATACCTATAAAATAAATATAAAATAAATATAATACCTATAAATAAATAATACCTATAATTTATATAATAATATAATATAATAATATAATAATTTCGCTGAATCCTAATTATTGTTTTGTCGGAATAAATATATTTGCTGGTTGCCGCTGGCTACTGCTCTGGCTGCCCCTGGCTGCTGCTGGCCAATATCCAATATTATTCCATTTTATGTTAATCGGCACCCTGATCAACACGAGCACACTCGACGACGGCAATGAATTAATCGTCTTAACTGCGAGGATTAACCTTTCATTTATTTACATATATTTCTTTATTTATTGTTAATTTATTTCAAAGTTATCAGTGTCGTGTTGTTGTGGATATGTAAGCATATCCACACAAAAATAAGTATCGTTTAAATTTAGACACAATTTAAAGTTACATATAATAACTTATTTCATTGTTTATTACATACACAATACCTAGTAACTAGTAACTAATAATAGCTAGTAAGGAAACTATAATTACCATATAAGCATTCGAAAATATTAAATTATGTTAGTGGTACTCTTGTGATCCTGTTACTCTCTTACTACTATGCGACAATAAAACCGCTGGTGTAAACACGTTTCAATTTAATTTGCAATTAAATTTGAAATTCTGTTAATTTCAAGAGCTCGTATAAACACCATACAACAGCTGTTTGTTTATATAAAACGGAAAAACTGATATAGCCTTATATAAACACATTAAAACATTGAACAATTTCTTTCACATATCATTAATTCTGTGTCGATATGTGTTGATAAATGGCTAAATGTGAGCAGTGCAAAAAACCTCAAAAAATCTCCCATTTGGTTTAGCATCAACTTTGCCTAAGACTAAATTTAATAATAATACTAAATAAATAATACTAATAAATAATACTAAATTAAATACAATTAATAACTAGTAACTATGAGTTTTGCACAATCCTTTCTCATTGAACTTACTCCATGTGATAATCAAAAATGTCTGCATTTTTAAGTGAATGAATTCGTTTTTAGGTGAGTATACGTTAAGGAAAACGAAGAGTAATTACATGTCTTGATTTCCTTACAAAATTATTGTCTTATCATTTTTTTTAATTATATTTTTCATTTCTTCAATCGATACACAATATTATCTAAGATCTTATAGTACATTCACATTAGCTCATTTGGGCAATTGCTTATTTATATTAATGAATAAGCGTTCACATTATAATGAGCTTATTTATGCAGCTGATAGCACTTTTATAAACTTCACTTAAAAATTAAAGTTATTGATATATTAAATAATTTATATACATTTTATATATCAATTATATATTCAATTTAAAAAACAAAGATTTTATTATATAATTACTTTCTCAATGCCTTTGTTTACAACTCATCTGTTGTTTGTTTACATTTTACACTTAAACATTTGACACATATTTCAAATTTTGGTAATTTATCTTGTTACTGAGTTCTTTCTGTGCTGAAATTTTTAATAAAAGATGGGAAGACTGAACGATATGCAGGCATCTGTATGCAATCTGGCTACTTTCCACTAAAATGAAATCCAACATTCTCACTTAGATGCCCCATAGAGTTGTCAGTCGTTTGGTAAGTTTACTTACAGGACACTGCAAACTAGGGAACCATGCTAGTAGATTAACTTTTTCATTTCGTTTTCTCGAACGATTTTTCTTACTTTTGACAAACACTTCGAGTAACTAATTGTCAAAAGTGACAAAATTACAAAAACGAACCGCTGATCTTAAACAACATTATATGCTTCGCTAAACGTTCTAGGTGGTTTTAAACTCTGAATTTATCTTATATATATGATAATGTGGCAGCACCAAAAAATATAAATAAAAGAACTGTCAATAAGGCACAAAGGAGACAACAATACCCACAGTTCCCGCCAGTAGTAGTTTGGAAAAAGACAAAGCAGCACGTGAATAAAACGTAAAAACACAATTCTTAACTTTAAGAATATTTTATAATAACTAAGTATAAGAAATAAATAAACTTATCCATTACCAATACGGAGTGTTCAATTCGAAATAAAACCCAACATAACAAACCACTACATTGGTGACCAAGCCGACGTCGAATATATAAAAAAAAAATGGCTACTCAAGAGCAAAAGACAACCGAAGACACTAACCCAATCAATGAAAACGCAACAATCACTGCAATAAAGCTGCCGATGCCAACATTAATAAAAAACAACATTGACCTTTGGTTTATTCAGTTGGACTACTGGTTCCAAGTCAACAACATAAAGGGCGATACTCAAAAGTTTGGCACAGTTATCGCAGCATTGGATGCATCGCTGTTAGAACAGATTTATAACACAATACAGAATCCACCAGCAACTCAGAAGTACGAGGCTATCAAGCAAGCAATAATAAAAAACTTTGCGGATAGTGAACAAAAACGCATACAAAAATTAGTTAGTGGTTTACAGCTTGGGGATAAAAAGCCATCCCATCTTTTAAGCGAATTGCAACGTATTAGTGGAAGCAAACAAGACGAACAATTACTGAAAGGGTTATGGTTACAACGTCTTCCTGTAGAAGTACAGACATGTCTAGCCACAATTCAAGTGGAACTACCTAAGATGGCGGAATTGGCAGACAACATAACCGAAACAATCCGTATAAACTCAACAATGCAAGGAACTTACGTCAATGCAGCTAACGTCCCTGCAGCAGCTCATATTCAACGTGATGCACAAATCGAACAACTTCAACGAGAAGTGACCAGACTGACGAAAATGGTCTCGAAATTATCAACCGAACACCGCTCAAGAACAAATCAACGTTCACGTTCAACATCCAGAAACCGGCAATGTCATGATGATAGTGAAGAAAAGACCAGTACAAATTGTTGGTATCATAGAACATATGGGTCAAATGCAAAAAATTGCAAGCAGCCATGCACATATGGCACAAAAAACTAAAACCGACTTCGTCTACGGCGGCAGAGGAAGTTGTAAACGAAACATCTACAAGACTGTTCGTCTATGACAATAAGACAAAAAAATCATTCCTAATAGACACGGGTGCAGATGTTTCACTTATTGCCGCCAAACAAAAAAATTCAAATACAAACAATAAGAACGAAAGAATACTCTACGCAGCAAATGGTTCTATGATCAAAACATTTGGAGAAATAGAGATAACTCTAGCTCTTGGCTTACGAAGAAATTTCACATGGCCATTTATTATCGCAGATGTAAACACTTCAATCATCGGTGCAGATTTTTTAAATCATTTCGGATTAATAGTAGACATAAAAATGAAACGATTGATCGACACATCAACAAAGATTTTCTCAGCCGCAAGCGAACGTAAGGTAAATGCGCAAAAAATATCAACTGTGAACACATCTTGCAAAATTGCAGATCTACTAAAAGAATACATCGACATCACTAAACCAACACCGACAAATCGCCAGGTGACAAAAGTCACTCACCACATATTAACAAAAGGTCCACCAATATGTGAGAGACCACGTAGGTTACCTCCAGACAAGCTAGCAGCAGCAAAAAGAAGAATTCCAAAACTTAGTCACAGCCGGAATATGCCGTCCATCAAGCAGCAATTGGGCTAGCCCCTTACATATGGTAAAAATACCAGACGGTAGTTGGAGACCTTGCGGAGATTACCGTCGCTTAAATGCAATCACCATCCCAGATCGTTACCCAGTTCCTCACATACATGATTTTGCACACATGTTATATAACCAAAAAGTTTTTTCAACCATCGACCTGATTAAGGCATATCACCAGATACCAGTTGAACCGGGAGATATTCCAAAAACGGCGATCATAACTCCATTTGGATTATTTGAATTTACTAACATGACATTCGGACTTTGCAATGCAGGTCAAACATTTCAACGCTTCATTCACGAAGTATTACGAGATCTCGAATTCGCCTTTGCCTATATTGACGACGTCATTATTGCATCAGCAAACGAGGAAGAGCACAGGCAACACTTGCAACAAGTATTCGAACGATTCAGAAAACATGGTTTAATAATAAACGTATCAAAATGCGTTTTTGCTCAAAACACAGTAAAATTTCTTGGTTATCTCATCAGTGAAAAGGGCATTCAACCTCTACCAGATCGAGTGAAGAGCATCAGCGAGTACCCGCTTCCAACAAAAACAAAAGAATTAAGAAGATTTCTAGCATTACTTAACTTTTATCGCAGGTTCGTACCAAACGCTGTAGATTCTCAAACTGCACTTCAACAAATGATAAAAGGAAACAAGAAGAACGACAACACACCGTTATGCTGGACTGAAGTGAACAAAACAATCTTCCAAAAATGTAAAGATGAACTAACAAACTCGACACTACTTGTTCATCCGTCAAAAACTGCTACGCTTGCATTACAAGTAGACGCCTCGGATAAAGCTCTCGGCGCAGTTCTTCATCAAGTGACAGACAGCACGTTTCAACCACTCGGTTTTTTCTCTAAACGATTAACAGATACACAAAAACGATACAGCACATACGATCGTGAGTTGTTAGCCGCATATCAGGGCATAAAACATTTTCGACATATGTTAGAAGGTCGTGAATTCGTATTAATAACTGACCACAAGCCACTCACGTTCGCATTCCAGCAAAAGTCCGACAAGGCTTCACCACGTCAAGTCCGACAGCTTGATTATATAGGTCAATTTACAACGAATATCGTTCATGTCAGCGGAAAAGACAACATCCCAGCAGATTTTCTCTCGCGGATAGATAGTATTAGCATCCCAAAAATCGACTACGATTGTATAATTGGATTACAACGATGTTGTCCACAACTACAAGATATCAAAAACAACAATTCCATCGAAATCAAACTTTTATCTTTACCAACAATATCAGATAAAATTTATTGCGAAGTTTCAACTGGGCGAATTCGTCCTTACATTCCGGAGAAATACCGGCTACATATCTTTAAAGCTACGCATGGGTTGTCTCATCCCAGCATTCGGGGCACAACAAAAATGATAGCTGAAAAATTTTTCTGGCCTTCTATAAATGCTGATATCAGAAACTGGACCCGACAATGTATCCCATGCCAACGTTCTAAAGTGCAACGTCACAACCGTTCACCTATTTGTCAATATGAACTCGCTGAACACAGATTCGAACATATAAACATAGATATCGTCGGCCCGCTACCACCATCAAACAACTGCACATATATATTAACCATCATCGACCGTTTCAGCCGATGGCCAGAAGCAATTCCGATCCCAGATCAAACAGCGGAAACCATCGCAAACGCACTGATTACTCAATGGATCGCACGTTTTGGCGTACCCTTACGTATCACAACAGACCAAGGAAGACAATTTGAATCTTCATTGTTCAACCAACTAGCTGAAGTTATCGGTTGCAAACACTTACGAACTACGAGTTACCATCCTCAAAGTAACGGAATGGTGGAACGATTTCACCGCACATTAAAAGCAGCCTTAATGTGCCACCAAACAACTTCTTGGACAGAAGTTTTACCAATAGTATTGTTAGGTCTACGCACGACTTTTAAACCAGACATTGGAGCTTCTGCTGCTGAAATGCTATATGGCCAAACTCTACGTTTACCGGGCGAAATAGTAAGCAACCCTAGCCACAGAAATATAAATCAACACGATTTCATAACCAAGCTAAGAGAACAAATGCAGAGCGTCAAGGCAACGTTGGTATCGCATCATATAGACCGAGGCTACCACATCCAACCGGCTCTAAGCTCAGCCACGCATGTATTTATACGAAATGACAAGGTAAAACCACCATTGACGCAACCTTACGATGGCCCTTACCAAATACTAGAGCGAAATGACAAGACGTTTAGAATACTGATCGAAAACAAAGAACAAACAGTTAGCATAGATCGTCTTAAAGCTGCTTTCATATGTCCCGATACAGACATTGACATCCACAACAAATCAATGGTATACCACACTCCAAACAACGTTAATGGCGACCAGTCTGTGCGACCAAATACAACAGCTAACCTGACAAAATCAGGACGCAACGTTCGCTTTCCAACCAAATTCAGTGACTCCATCACTTAGGGGGGAGTACTGTGGCAGCACCAAAAAATATAAATAAAAGAACTGTCAACAAGGCACAAAGGAGACAACAATACCCACAGTTCCCGCCAGTAGTAGTTTGGAAAAAGACAAAGCAGCACGTGAATAAAACGTAAAAACACAATTCTTAACTTTAAGAATATTTTATAATAACTAAGTATAAGAAATAAATAAACTTATCCATTACCAATACGGAGTGTTCAATTCGAAATAAAACCCAACATAACAAACCACTACAATAACATAATGGGCCAATAGACTCTATGGATCACCGGTATAACCTAACATATCTTTTAATCACTCTGTTGTACATTATCTTACTATTAATTAATATATTAATTTGTAGTAATTATAATACTATCAAGCAACTTTTTCAATTATTTAATAAATTAAACCAGCATAAAATTTTTAGAAAAACAATTTACTATATAATATCGGTTCACGTTAAAAGTGTAAGCACAAAAACAGTACAGTTTTTTCACAAAATTTGATTAAAGAGTATCTAAAATACCTTCCCTTAAGCTATTTCGAAAACGAAATTTCAAAATCAAATAAAAGGTAAACAAAAAATATCTACATAATTTGATTTCGAATACACAAAGGAATACGGAATAAAATATCTGCGTTGTACGAATAAAACGTTTATAACCATTTCCATTTGACTATCGATATGGCGGAAGGCGTTGATGTTTGACATGGAATTCACACTGGAGTTTCCGCCACTTAATGTGCTGAATTCAAAATAGAAAGACAAGTAATCCCAAAGGCAAACGAATGCATAAATAAGCAATCAAACTAGCAAAGCCTTCATATTCTGTTGAGTAAATTTGAGTTAATATTAAATAAATAAACAAACTGATTTTACCTTGAACTGAGTTTAATTTTCTTAAGCTAATAAAAACTTCTAACTACATTTATTTACTTACACGTAGAGCGGTAAATATTATACTTTAAAATTATTTTTTAAATGAAAACAAAAACAAATCGAAATAAGTTACGAATTGTGAGTTCATTTAATTAAAAAATTCTTTTACTAAAACTCAAGTAGTTTTATCTTAAAACTATTTTTATGCGGAGTTTCGTAAGTTCCTGAAAGCTTCAAATTCTGAAAGAAATTAAAACTTATATGAATTTTATATATGTGCTATGCGGGTATACAATCAGTTTGTAAAGTATCTGGTATATTAAGATTTATATCGACAACTATACATAGAGAAAAATACACATAAAGAAAGTACCATATAATCAAAAACTCATAACAAAATTCTTTTAAATTACGACTGCGGCAACGATTTCAACACATCTTCCTCTTTGATTTGCAGTACTTGTAAATCAAAATTTGGCAATAACAAAACTGAATAGGAGCGTCATTTTGTGATTCTGTTCACACGAGCTATCGAGATCCACAGTTATCGCCATTGGTGGTGCAGTGAACTGAAAGTAAAAGTTAGTTTTCATCTAAGGCAAGTGTTGCCATTGAAGGGAAAGGAATCTTATTTATTGTATATTGAGATGAAGTGATGATTCGACCGAAACTGAAATGCAGTTTTGTGTGTTCAATAAGTAACTGAAAATTTCTATCTGAAAGATAGAATGTGAATATGCGCAATTTAGAATGCAAAGGAAATTGAACCAAATACCTCATTTTATTAAACTTTCAATAAAAAGTTAAATTTGTTATTAAACTTTTTCTTCTAAAGTTTGCTTCACCAAAAAATTAAGTTAGTTCGTACTCCTTGCATTTATAGAGTAGTTAACATTTTTTTCATGTATATATATTATATCTATTAGCTCTATTAAAAGTTTATTATTCTAATATTGATTTTGATTATATTGGTTATTAATAGGCCTTTTCTTTTGTAAGCATATCACAAAAGAACAACTGCTTCTTTTAAAAATAAGATATGAAACAACAAGAATGCTGTTTTATATAGTCCAACCTTTTTGAAACTGCTTAACTAATAAGCAGTTCAAATCACATGGTTGCCATCACTAATAATACGTCTATTGTGAACGATTTTTGGAAGTACATACGAAACAAAGAATACTTATACTTTTACAAGTATTCTTTGATACGAAATTTCCAGTTATCTGTCAACGGAATGATTTCATTAGTTATTCGTATTTCGTGTCGTCATTGTTCGTAACAAATATGCACGGTTGCCACTTGAAAATTTTTTCCTGTACCAAAATTGGTTTTAAAAGGTACCATATCTGTAAAAAAGGTGCAAAATTTTTTTGGACCGTCTTATTTTTTCGTTCTGTGTTTTTCATAGTGTTATAAATGAACAAAATATAAAATAGTGCAAAGTTGCATATATAAAAAGAATTAATTGGAAATATCCACAATAAAGTTGGGTCGTCAAAAATGTACCATTTTTTGAACATGAGTACCAAACGAAAAAAAAAGTACCAATTTTGGTACTAAAGTACCATAAGTGGCAACCGTGCAAATATGTTATATTTTGTTTTGCACATATAAGCCGAACAAAATCTCCATTTTGTCCAGAGTTGCCATCCGAATTAGTGCTTATTTTATTTGTTCTTTTGCGACGTGGTTAGAAAAGAAAAGGCCTTTTATTGGCTCTATACATTTTAAGATTTGTTTGATTTATTTTTTTCAATCTTATTTTATATTTTACTCGTATAAAATTTTACTTCTTAAATTTTAATGCAGCTAAATTTAAAAATCAATCTATTGTGAATCAGTTAATCAGCATTCCATTTACTAATAAATTCAAATACATGAATAAATAAATTAATTTGAATATATAAAATATTACTTTTAATGGTAATGAATATTAATTTCTGTATGTATATATTTTTTTTGTATTGTTTATTATTCCAGTAATATTACAAATATCATAGATATCTAGTAATACTTTTAACAAATGACGTTTGGAAGTTTGATTCATCTTAAATCATCGTTTAAGATAACATGTTAATGATAATTTCAATATATTTCATACAATTTCAATACATAAATTATTTTTTTCCTTTTTTTTTTGTGAATAAGTTGTAATTTAACGTCAAATTTTCCAGACGGAAGTGACTATTATATTTTTTTTATAATAGAAACTTGTTATATTTACATAAAGAGGTTTTCGAACAGAAGTGAAACAACAACAATAATTTTTTTTTTAAATTATTTTAATTAATTGAATTTTTTGCTGACCATACAGCTGTTTCGAGTATTGCCAAATACCCTTCATCAGTGGTCTTGGAAATAATTCTTATATTTAATTATTCGTAAATAATTATTTTTGAGACTGCAAGTACCAGGAATCGAACTCGGGTCCTGCCAAATGTGAAGCTCAGAATCAGCGCACCTTAACCAACTGATCCAAAGCCGTACTTGACTTTTTATGTTCGCATATTTTTCTGGAGTTTTGTTACTTTTGCTATGAAAGTTTTTATTAACAATTTTACTTGCTGTGTTTATATATTAGAACGAAATCATAAACCAGCTGTAGAATAATTGAATTAATTAATTAATTATATTTTTTTATTTTTAATTGTTAAATTTCAAAACTATTCTATCTATTCTTTTTTTTTTTTGTAAAGAAAATAATTCAACAAAATTTAATACTTTAGTAGGTTCAATGTGTGCGTTTTAGACGTTTTTTATACCCTAGTTCCAAAGCAGGGAGTCTTCTCATTTCCAAATTTGTGTGCTGCAACAATTTAGATATATGATTAGCATTGCTTTTTTGAATTGTTTCATGTATAGTAGGGATTTTCAGGTCTTTGTAAATATCGTCGTTTATGATGTACCATCTAGCATCTACTATTGTTCGCATGATTTTTTTGATTGTAACCTCTGGATAGTATTCATATTTGTTTTACAAGTGGTTCCCCATATCTCAATTTTCAAATCGGTTTTGTAAATTAATAGTTTGTTATCAGCTGTTACATTGAAATTTTTACCAAGAACCCAACATAGATCTGCAAAGCTTCGATGCGCTTTCTTTTTCTTTTGCATTATGTCCTCCTTTCAAGCACCTTTAAAACTAAAATACTTGAATTTGAGAATGATTCTAAAATTAAACTTTATACTTCTTCCTGCTATTGTATTGTTTAAATGCAGCTTTATTAATTTTTCCTTTTTAAGATATTATTAAAAACATAATTCAATCAAATTAGTTCCTTATTGTCTCATTACTATATATTTAAGAACTGTTCATTATGTTAAGAACATACAAGAATAAAAGAAAATTACGAGGTCTTTGTGCAGATAAAACTTGTTAACTACAACAAAAAGCAAGAACCTTTTGAAAATAATTGTAAGCAATTTGAAAATTGTGTTTGCCATTTTTACAGATAAAAACAGATGCGTTTTCTCAGGGAAAGCGAAAACAAACCACATAATAGTTGTAAAAAAAATATTAACAAAACAGTAAATCATTACAAAAAACAAAAAGGGAAAGTATATAGAAATAAGAAACTGAAGGAATGATTGTACTTTACTACTTTTCAACATAGTTTTTGTAAATATGAAAACTAAATATAAAATCAAAAAAGTACTTTTTTCTAATTTATTAAGCACAATTTGCCTCTTTCACTGAAGATGACGAACTGAGAACAACTGAATGAGTGATGTGCTTGTGATGTGATTTGCTTGGATTGAGTGTTTAACTGACACTAAATCCAGTCTTAAGTCCAGTTCTGTCCAACTAACAACTCCTCTTTGTGTGGGCCTTCTACTTTATCAGCTGTTATTATTTATTATTATACGATATGAAAATTAGATTAGATTTGATTAGATTATCAGACTGCTTAAGTTTGCGTAAACTTTTTCGTTTTAATATTTCTTCGATTTTTTAGAATGTGAAGTGCACTGCGACTTAAAAGATATATTGTGCCCCTTACTCGGATCAGAGTGTTTCTCCAATTTCGATTTCTTTAATGAAAGACAGTATGAAGTTTATCTTTCTTAGTCTTAAATCCTTATGATCCATGGTATACCCTCCTAGTTGTTTCTT